GTGCAGTTATCCGAGCTCTTGAAATATGTAAAAATATTGAAAATCTAGAAATTATTATTGATAGTGGATGTGTTATGGGTATTGTAACAGGATGTGATAAGAAATGTAAAAAACATATTGAATTAAAAAGAAGGTTAATATCTTTGATTATTAATCATAAAGGAGTTGTGAGTTTTATAGAAATTAAGAGTCGTAGTGTTTATGGAAATATACAAGCTGATTATTTAGCTAAACGTGGAGCATATAAAGAATTTGAAGGATAAATTATAAATTAGTTAAAAATAATAATAATATAATTTTTAAAAATATAATTTAATTTTTATTATATTTTATTTATATTTATATAGATATTTAAGATTTTTCTATAATAGGTTTTTTTTTCTTAAGTATTTGTATATATATAATATATAAATTAAAATTAATAATAAATTATTTATTTGTTTTTAAGTATAATATATCAACATATTTTGTATTGTATTTACTATAAATTATTTTAAATTTATATTTTGATTTTTTTAAATTTTCTAAATCAGATTTTTTTACTCGTATAGTAAATTTTTGTATTTTATTAATATAGTTTAATAAAATATTATAATCAAAAACCCAACAAGAATAAGAATATCCATTTTTTATTTCTTTAATTATTTTACTATTTTTCAGTATTAAATTAAAAAAATAATAACTACATTTTTCATCAATTAGATAATCTAATATTTTAGTAGGAAAAAAAATTGTTATAAAAGAAGAATAAATAAAGGTGTTTTCGCCTTTAAACCATTTAATTGAATAGTGATATTCTCCAGTTAAATCATCATATCCAATTATATCTTGACATTTTTCTTTAATATATTCTTGTTCATTTTTTGGTAATTCATTGTATAGAATATGTAAACTTTTTGAATAATCAGAATATTCAAAATATTCATCCCATAAAAATGGCATCACATGAATACATATTGTTCTTGAAACAAATATTAAAGATAATAGATCTTTTTTATTATATATATTAGAAATAATTTTATTTAATATTTCTGTTGCAAACTGATTCATTGTTTTATTTTATTGAATTAAGAATAAAAAATTAAGTTTATATAATTTAATAATTTAATAATATAATTAATAATTAACTTAATTTATAAATATTAGCAAAATATTTTAATATTTTATCATATTAAAACAAAATGTCTAAAGATGAAAAATTGAGTGATAAACTTCAATATGATTGTTTTTATTATGGTAATGATAATGATAAAACAATTATTACTACAGTTCTTGAATATATAAATAATAATAAAGAAATATTGAAAGATAAAGATATTATAGATGAATTTAAACAAATTTTTAAAAATATTTCTATATTTAATAAAAATTTAGATGAATTAAATAAAGATCATGAATTTGATAATGAATATGTTGTTGTATCTGATCAATTTGATTTTAATATAAAAGAAATAAATTATAATATAATTCATGAAGAATATCAATATTTAAATCTTATCAAGAATATTTTAAAGAATGGTGAAAAAAGAAATGATAGAACTGGCACTGGAACTTTATCAATCTTTTCTCCTTCTCAATT